TAGATTTGCCCCTAGTCCAAACCCCCCTGCAATAGGCAGGGACACCTTCCACTAAGACCAGGGTGCTCAAAGCCCCATTCAAGATAGACTTGATAGAAGGAGCATCCACAAGTTTTCTAGGCAACCAGTTCCAGTGCCTCTCCACCCTCACAGAAAGAATTTCTTCCCAATCTAAACCTACCCTCCTTCTGCTTAAGTCCACTTCCCCTTGTCCTATCACTACATGTCCTTGTGAAAAGTCCCTCCACAGCCTTTTTGTAGACCCTGTTTAGCTACTGGAAAACTGCTATATTCAAGAACTTAGAGCATACCAACTTCAGCCGGAGGGATGGAGAGCAGTGGTATGTTGCCGAGGTTCAGGTTCTTGATAAGCTTTGACCGTTGCCCATCATGATGATCAGTAGCAGCTTCTGACTTTTTGTTATTCCTTATTATACTGTATGAAATTATGATCTGTGATGTAGCATCCCATCTGGCTGGTTCTGTGTGTGCACAGTGACACAGTCAAAATTGAACTGGTTTCATTTGAGAATGAGTCACTCCATGACCTTAAAGTATCTGAAGAGAGCATGGAGGAGAGGGTTCCAAGAATCAGCTTAAGGAAAGGGAAGAAAAAAACTTAGCAGTCTTTTACAATACCAGGCTTGAACTATTTGGGGCTTATATCTCCTCAAGGAATTGGGTTTTAATTCATAGTCTGTGCCATCAAGGTAATCCTAGTTTTTCTGCTTCCTGACAAGAAAATAAACACCAAGTTAAACTTTTTAGTTAAACTCGTATTTTATTACTATCCATACATGTGAAAAATAAGACCAAAGAGTTAAAATATTTTTTGCCTTCATGCAGTTAACGGTGTGATACCAAAATTTAACTTTGTATTATATGTGAAAGCAGAAAACAACTCCCAAAAAGGAGTAGCTTTCTGGATGAAAACTGTTGAACCTGTCTTTAAGGTGTGAATGCAGCTTTTTTTGCTTAAAGTTAGTTATATTTAGTTACGGTGCCCAATTCTAAATCTCTGCTTTTTGTTTCTGTCCTACAGGGAACACAGTGAGTAACCTGATATTTATTCTACCTCCAGTCTATGGTGCGATTCAGACCTATAAAGATGGCCTTGAAAAACGGTATTTAGCTGCCTATTTGTGTCTTACAGGTATGTGTAAAATTTAATTTGCCCTTTCATTATTAAGAGAGCTCAGATGTGCAATGAACACTATCTAAATATTAGTAAACTAGGTAGTTAAATCCAAATACTGTGTGTGTGAAAAGTAAACCTCAATTTGTTATGCTTGTTAATGTTTACCGAAAATAGGTGTTTGTTGGAAGGACATGAATTTAGAATTCACAAGATAACTTGATGAGATTTAAAGTGATCCTTTTCTGGCTTTAGGTCCTGCTCAGTGCATCTTAGCTTACTCTGTACTTTTATGATGATTTACAGAAGGTGTCTACTTGTGTAGTTCTACTTACAACAGTTTCACACTAATATTTTTGTGAGATTTGTATGGAACAGTAATACAAAAAATGGCCAAGATCTTGAGGGAACTGGAAAAGCATTCTTTCATGAGTCTGAATTTGTGTTCAATTCCTCTTTGGCATAAGGGACATTGGATCTAGGAATTTTGGCAAGGATGGAAGAACAACGTAACATTCATGTATAGATCAGCTTAAGGGCAGTCTGTTATTTCTAAAATCGCAAAGTCTGGGAAAAAAACCAACTTGTTTTAAAAGGTTAATCATGCAACTAGAAGTCATGTTCCTTATGAGAAAAGATGTTTGAAGATGATTCAGGTTTGGCAGTTGGGTCTCGAACTATACAGAATTTGTGTTTCACAGGGTTTTTGTGTTTGCTATGGCTCCTCTCTCTGTGTGGGGATCTTTCTCAGTCTTTGCAGTGGTAAGGGATTGGTAAATGTTACATTTAAGATTGGCAGACGTTGAAAAACACACATCCATGTGCTGAATGTATCCTTGATGCCAATTAAACTGTAACATGTTTGCAGTTACATCAGCTTTACTAATCTATGTGAAAGATAGGCAGCAACAATGCACAGCTTTGCATGTTGTCTAAACACTTTCCAAACAGCCATTTCTAGGCTTTTTATGGTTTTGAGTAATTATTCATTTTTGTCTCAGTATGAAACAGTTTGGCAGAAGGAATTCTTGAAGGTCAGTGTTTACTTTTAAAAAGACAGGGAAGGAAACAGTGTGTAAGCGTTTGTTGAAGTTGACTTCGCATATTCTTGAATCAAAGTATCCTATACTTCCATTCTTTTTAAAGTAAAATAAAATAAAATTTAAAACTCTGATACTGTCTTCACCTTAATTTGTGGCTACCTCTGTCAGTGACATTTGATGATGGACAGAGTGTGCCACTGTGTGACCAGAATGTCAGTTGTCTCACCAAGTGGGCATTTCTCTTATCCTATTTAATGCTTAAAATGTTAAACACCCTCCCCCCAAAACCATCATCTGGTTTTGATCACAGTAAATGCCAAGGACTTGAGTTTTATACTCTTTGTGGTGCTGATGAAGGGGAGCTCAGCCTGCATATTCCACAGCAGTGCTGGAGGGCAGTCCTGACTTGCAGCTGGGCCCTGCTCATGTGTGTCTGGGCTGCCTTTGACTCCTGTCTGAAGTGATAAATGCTTGCATGGCTTGATTTTTATCTCATATATGTTGGAACCTACCATTAAAGGTCTCTCCCAAAAGCCTTTCCCTTCTGTTCTATCTCTCCTTCAGTATTCATAATGTTGGACTGTTTTACAGCAGTTGTAAAGGAATGTAGAAGACTTGATAGTTTCTCAGTGAAAAACAGTAACGGGGTGATTTGGAATCACTAACCTCTTAAACATTTGCTCTACTCCAGAATAATAGCAGCAAATGTGAACAAAACAGAATTTTAAATATACTTGAAGTGTGCCAGGAGCATTGGTGTTCTTCCTGTGCATGTGACTGAATGAGAAGCATACTGAAGTGGAGATAGAGTAGGTGCACAGAAATTTCTTTTTGTAAGAAAGTACCAGAGAGGATTCTTTTCCTCACATGAATTTTATTTATTAACTGATTTCACTCTACTTACTTAATTTGTAACAAAGAAGTATAGACTTAATCTGTGAAGGGATGCTGAATTTAACACAAACCTTGATTTCAGTGCAGGCATCAAGCTTCATTAAAAACCATAGAGCAGAGCTTCTAGCTAACTACTAGTGTCTAAGGGCTGTCTTGTCAAAGGAGAAATTCTTTAACAATTCTGCTGTGAAGATGGGGGTGGAAGGGAGGGCACTTTAGTTAGGCTTTAACAACTTTGAATCATTACTCAGATTTTTACAAGATATTAAAAGGCAGCTGTCAAAGGGGACATTAAATCTCTCAGTATTTGAGAACATGAGAAGTGTTGTTTCTAGACATTATTTTGATCCAAATCAGCTGTTTCTTTTGGATGCTTCCAGTCATTTGGTTTATTGTCAGTTCCTTTGTGTTTTACCATACCATGTTCAGTACTTCACTTTTATACCCACAATTTCTTTGTTTGACATTTATTTCCTCTTCAAACCAAATGCATTTTGAATTATGGAAACACTGTTTGTTTCACATACATGCTAAGATCTTGGCAGGACAGGAAGGGATATTTATAAATAATTGTTCAAATAAATTTCTTGTTCAGACTGGTGCGGAGACCAAGTTGCACTTTTCAGCAAGTTCTTTGAGATACAGCACACTGTTCTCAGCCCTTTTTTTCTGCTGCCTTTCAGCTCAAAGGGCATGTTGTCAAATAACTCAGTAGGAGTTGGATATGATTTTTAAGCTTTAGAGAACCATTTCATCAACCTATAAATTATGAAGAATAATCTTAAGCAATTACTTTAGCACGTTTCATCTCCTGAAGCAGGTGGAACAAATCATCTGACTGTCACTACCTCAAAGCAGCAGCAGTTGGTTTTGGGTAGTTCTTTATGATGCTGGGGTATTGTATCAGATTCTGCCATATGTCATTTCCTCATGCATCCTGGGAAACTGATTCTGAAATGGTTTGTATTCTAGAAGGGTCTCAATTTTAAAAATAAATGTCTATTAAAAAGAGAGTGTAACTGTTCTGGACCTAAGAAGGTAAGAAAAGTCAGTCAGTGGAGTAATGTACTTTATTAGATACTTTGCTTGAAATTTGGAAGGATTTTTCTGATTTGTATTTCTTTAACCTGTTTCATAGGGCTCAGTCATTCAAGCTGTGTGAAATTGAAGGGGGGGGAAAGGGCTGCAGAAGGTTTTCTACATTAAGCATAGCCATAGGAACTTGTAAGCAGCTTATTAAACTTCATTTCCAGTGAAACTCTGTATCTGTAAAAACAGTTGTTAGAAGCTCTTCAGTCAAAGTTAATTCCCTTATTCTTATCTAACACCCGTAGAGAAGCTCCTAGTCCATGTTAGTAAATGAAATGTGCTTGGGAACATTCCTGAGTGCTGAAGCCAATTAGCGTGGAACAGCCCATGTCTGTTTGCTTTAGCCTCCAAAACAAGGTGACTGCATACAAATTCCCTGCTGAGCATAGGCCCTGGACTCTTCTGTCTGCTGGACTGTGCCTGGGAACTGCTTGGGGATAGTGCTAGTTGGAACAGACCAGATTCACGCTGCACACTGTTCTAACAACTCACTAGTGCAGACGGTTGTATTACAGAGTCTGGGAAGTGTACCAGCCACTCTGGAGTTTACTTGTAGAGCTGTACCCTTGGAGTAACCAGGGTCTCTCCTGTCTGTCGCGTTGTAGAGGGAAACCATTAAAAACAAAATAATTAATTAGTAATAGTTCATTTAATTCTCATTTTTCATCTTGTTTCCTTCTCTGATTGTTTATGATGCTGGATGAAACCTTTGAACCTGTCTTCAATGAGTGAATGCAGCTTTGTTTAGTTAAATTTAGTTATGATGTTGTTATCTTTATTTCAGTTCTATCATTGTAAAAGAAAAAAGTAAAAATGTGGAGTTCAGCTCCAAATTTAAACACCTAGTCATGTGTGCCTACCTGTGCAGAGGGTTCTGTCTTCCATTGCAGTCAGGAGAATTATTTGGCTCATTCTAAAATATATGTTTAGCACTCTGAATTACTCTTAACAATGCCATTCCCTTACTGGAATCTTTGACATCTAGTTCATGTGTAGATACCTAAATAAAGGTGCTGGCATCTGGAGGATCCTTCCTTCAGGATGTTTTCATATAGTGCCTGTACAGTTTCAATTCAAACCATGTCTGTGAAGTCCTAATAATCTGCTTTTTCTGTAAAGGATTTAGGCTTATGATATGTGCTGATGGATAGTTATATCAAAATGAATTATCACTGATTATGTGATACTTCTGATGCTTCCTAAAACAATTGAAAACATCCCTCTAGGGTGCAGCTCCTGGAAGTTTATATGGTTCATATATAGAGCTGGATCTTTTGTATAATGTTAGATTATTTCCAGCATGGGTATTGCCCTTAATTTTTTTGACAGTGTTGAAGCACAGTGAAATAACCATGTATGAAGTAAAGTTTGCAGATTCATTGCTTTTACATCATCACTAACAGAACTACTTTATCAACTGACAGTAACCACACATTGTGTTTTGCTGCAGGACAGAAAAGACCGTGTTAGTCTCACAGAACAGCTAACCTTACTTTGCATTCCCAGCCTTTTTAAGTGCTATTCTGATCACATAATATTGTGACTTAAATTATGTATTAAACACTGAACACACATTATGTATGTCCCCTGTAACCTGAGAGGTTCATTGATGTGAAAATGTCAAGTGACTTGTAGTATTTATGACAAGTGAGTTAGAGCAGTTAGAGAGGAAATGGTACTGCTTGAGATGGTGTTAAAATGTTCCAGCCATATACAGCTTTTAGTGAGTTATGCTCCTTTGCAAAAGGGAACACCTAAAATGAAAACTGTAACCCCTGCTTACAAGATAAGGAACAAATTTATTGCTCAGTGTGTTAGTGGCTGTACAGGAAAGTTGCTTCTTTTGAAAACTGGTGTAAATGCTGTGATCATAATCACTCGTATTTCGAAAGTTACAAAGCTGGTAGCATGTCTCATTGCAGTGATGGTGTTTGTGAAGTAAATATTCCTTAAATATTTCTTGATCCTGAAGTTATATGATGAGAAGTATATCTAAATAGAGCTGCATTCCTGTAGAACTGCAGGTAGAAGCTACATGTGAAGACACTTGAGCTTAAGCATTAAACCACTGCTTACTGGAGACAAATGCACATAAATTTGCAAGTTAGACTTTAAGTGTAACATAAATGTCGTATAATTTCTAGTCATGTAACATTCTGGGTTATCTGCACGTATTCCAGACAGACTTGACCATGCTCACAAGCTCTGTCATGATTGCAGCAAGCAGCATTGCAGCCATTTCCATTAGAAGTTTTTATTGTAGGAGGGTCCATATGATTACTCCCTGTAAGCTTCTCTTGTTTCAGATATATAATTTATTGCTACATAATATAGCTAAAGCATTGTTCTGCAATCCACAGTAAAATTTCATAATCAGGGGAACTCACAAGTGTGATCATTACACAGAAGCAAGAGGGTTTTTATTACTTTTTGAAATTAATTGTGGTCATGTGATTAATCACCCGAAGCACTAATATCTGCAGCATTCTTGATTTTTGCAAAAATTGGAAAGGAAAAAATCTAGAAATAACTGCTTCTAATCATATAGGAGGAAGGGGAGTTCAGTAGCTGCTTGTTGAGATTTACTAACCCAAATAACATTAACAATAACAAACAAACAAACTCCAACCCAACAACGTATTTTGTTACCTTAAAACCAGTTGAAATTTCTTATGCAATGATTTTGCCCATATTTAAAAACTATATTTGTCACAAATTGTAAGAGTTTGTATCTTGTGGCAGCCAGAATAATGAATGGTACTGTTTTAGTGATTATATTAATGTTGGTTTTTTTCTCCAGAATGAAAGTTGTCATATATTCTGTATGCATAAAAAAATGCCTATGAAAATTTCTCATTAGAATCCCAATGAAGGTGAAATACAGTTGTTGCTTATTGTTTGAAAGGATTTTTCAGAAGCAGACCAAACATAATCAAAACATACAGAAGTACATAGGGTTATTTATGTTCTGGTAGACAGCTGTGCTTCATTTTCCCAGAGAATTAATGAGGTGTTTGGCAATATGCTTTTAAATGTAGCTGTATTACAGTTTTCATGTTTCAGCCAAGTTACATGCTTAGGTATTTAATTTCATTGAGTACATGAAATAATCACAATTCCAGTCTAACAGCATCTAAAGAAGCATCTTCAGACACGTCTGTCGACTGTCTCAGGAATCCTTTATAGAATCCACAGAGTTAGAGGTCTTGTTTGTGCATCAGTGGGACCTGAGTGTTCTGTGCAGACAAGGTGATACTCTTGCAGCAAAACACAGCAGCACTACCCAGTGACCAAGGCTTGAGTGCAAATTTCTTGGCTATCTCTGAAACTGGAGTGTGATAAAACATAATTTCTTGAAGGAAGACATCACATTAATGTGCATTTTTTTGCAAAATAAAAGTGAGCTGGTGCTTAATGAGAGTGTTGCACTGATAGCATTTCAAAGTAATGAGTGATGCATTGAATCCTGTACCGGCTTTGCTCTAAACAGTGAAGTCTAACTTCCAAGAAACATTATCCATGTCTAACTGAAAAAGCTGTGTATAAGCAAAGTGTATATCTCAGAATTTCAGAAGTAAATTCAGAGTTCAAAAAGAAATTATATCAAATAAATGTAAATAATTTCTTAGAAGTTCATCTTTCTGTGTAGAAGGCCTGGAAATGGTGTTCTCATTTCACAAAATGAATCCATCCTGTGTGGAGTTGGTTTGTTTACCTTGAATTTCTAGTTCTAGTAGCAATTTTTTTCTGCTTATAGAGGACTACAAAAAGCTCTTCATAAAATTTATGTTTTAAAACTGGACAATAAGCAGGATTTTGAGAGGCTTTCAGTACTGGCCATTGGATGATGCTTTGCATTATAGAAGGACTGAAACAGATAACTCTTAATGTACTTAATTTTTTTTTTAAAAAATAGGAAAAGAACAAAAGTAGATAAATTGAATTATAATATCCCATTCATCCTGAGTTCCCTCTGCTCTTTCCTCTTTGAGATTACACCAGTTCATAAGAGATAGTATTGAGAGGAAGGAAAGAGGACACTCAGCCCAAAAAACCCAAAAGTTCAGGGACATCAGTGGTGACTAACGTATAAAGCAGAAGCCTGCAGAAAACTGAGGGTTGTCCCTGCAGTGTAATGCTGATGTTCTTTATTTATTTTTTTTGCTGTAAAGTTCATGCATTTAAGTTGATGTAACTGAAAGTTTTACATGTAGACTTTTATGCTGACCATAGTTTTGATTTATTTTCAGCTGTGGGATTGGGATCTTGGTGCTTCCACATGACCCTGAAGTATGAAATGCAGGTGAGTATTGATTCGTATCTGTGAATTATTTTGTGTATCTCACTATACAATCATATTGCCATTTCTTGACTAGATGAAACTCATATAAAATGAGTTAATCTGCCTTAAGTATTATCATACATGACTCCTGCTCTCAGCAAGAGAGTAATGCAGGTCCTGTTTCATTAGGTATTTTCCACTGATGGATATGCAGTACTATATACTTGCATCCAAAATAAGAGCTATAATCAATTGCTTGTGTTAGTAGAGGACACTTTATCCTTTGGGAAATCATACTGTCTTTTTGCACAAGTTGTTATTTTAAAATTCCTATAGTAAGCAGTATAGGACTGGAGTTATTGCTACTTATTGTATCTTTTTTCATCTTTGTTTTCTATTATGTTTTCTATTTATCTATAGCATTAATAATGTAGCCAGTGTCTGCTGAGTAGCAGCAGTTCAGTCCTCTTTCTTATTTTCAAGTAGACTGCATTCTATAACAAATCACAGGGCATAGGGATTTAGTCCTGGTATTTCCTGTTTTCCAAAGGGACACAGGAAGCCTTGTCCTGTTGTCCTGTTTTTAGGTCTGCGACGATTAAGGAAATTGATCTTTGAATCACGGTCAGGGTGAAATGGGATTCAGTTTAAAATTAAGAAACCCACATTTAAAAGTCTGTGCTGGAAGTCTGAATCTCACACCATAGCCCATGGAAATACAGTTAAATCAGTGGAATTTAGGGAGGCAGTCAGCTGGGCTGAATCGTTCTCCAGACTCCACTGGCAGCCTTCACTCAAAAAAGATTCATTTGTGTGAATACAGGTGTTTAGTGATATTTTAAACCCTGTGAGTGTTTTGTCTGGCATCCAGCTGCCATCCCACAGAGGTGCAGATTTCTTAGACTCCCTTGTCACATCTGCCAGTGTTGGGTGGGTATACTGGGGGTGACAGAGCATCTCAGATGGCATTAGGCACCTATGCTGTGGCGGCTGGATTGAGTCCTGGTTTTCTACTGGTCATAGTGGAACCTGAATATTGCTGATTGACGTTTTCCTCCATAATGCTCTGTTTTATGTCTCTGGCATGTGCCAGAGACTGCCAGCTTCCATGGAGCATACTGTTGCCATAATGTTGTAAGAACATTTGGTGCTTTTCTTGGCATGAAAAAGGTGATTTGTGGAGCCATTTCACCACTCCCTCCCAAATTAAGGTCTGATTCACCTGTATTCTCTTCACTGGTGAAACTGCTTCGTGTTTCCTGTTTATCTATCCCTCGGCTGCTTGTTCCTAATCCTCTTCCTTACACTAATGCAGGGGTGAGCAAGGACACCCTGAAACCCAGGTCATGAAAATGATCCAGACTTAAAACATTATTATGTAGGGCTTTTTTGTGGATTTCTTGTTTGTTTGTGCAGAGGCTATTTTTAGTCCAAGTCAGTCTGATGCTACTTGCCATGTAGTTCTGGTGTTGCATTTAGAACAACTGTGGGGGCTTTGTGCTATGGTAAGCAAATGGAGAGCAAAAGCAGATGAGAGGGAAGCAGGAATATCTTGCATCATCTTTCCAATTGATGTAAAAGGTTTCGTGTGAGGCAGAGAAAGTGCACTTATTTTGGCAGCCAAGTGAAATCCGCAAGTGGCCCATAATTACTGCAATTGCTAGCTCACGGATCACCATGGAGCAAACAGCTCAACCAGGAAATGATATTTTCTTGTCCCCTTTATCTCTTATTACTATTAAAAGTCAGCATTGATAACTGTTCAAAGAGATGGGTTTTTACATTTTACATTTGTTTTGTCAGTTTGGTGTGCTTAATTAAGAGAAATGTGAAAGCTCCTGTTCTTGAAAGCAGTTCTTTGGAATACTTCTGAAGGAATCACCTCTTTTTCTCATATTTTTATGGGAATCTTCTTGATTGTGCATTCCACAAGAAGTGAAAATGATTATTTTTAACCACTGAAATCAGCTCTTTGAGTTTCCTTCTATTCATGTTTCTTCATTGTCCAGACATGCCTTTGACAGTATTTCTGCAAGCATTCATTCCCTTGGATACAGAAGCCATTGTCTTCTGCATGCAAATTCTAACTAAGAGCTTTTGAGAGGTGCTTTGATGTTACTGTAATGTTCCTGAGATGCTGCCGACATATGAACTGAGGAGTGTAATCAGCTGTCCAAATTTGACAAATTTTCCTATATTTCCTATATTATATTCCTTATTCTTCCCCCCCCCCCTTTTTCCTTCAGGAGGTGTTAAATGACTCTCACTCCTAAAGAGCCACATGAATGAATCCTGCAGCTAATTCCCAAAAAACTTGGAAAAGCATGTCTCTGAAGTTTTAAATACTATTACTATAATGCTGAATTTAGCTACTGCTTCTATTTTTTCATCTCTAAGGCATAAAAGCAAAGATAAACTAATGTGATAGCAAGGTGCCACCTAACATGCCTGTTAGGTTCAGCTGCTACTGATGTCACTGATACTATCTTTGTACTACCTCTTTGTGGTCCTTGAACCTGTAATGCATGGATTCAGGGATTTAAACCTTTTTCTGCAAGGCTAGTTGCGTGCTGGCTCATCTGTTGGACCTGGCTCACCGTGGCTCAGATGAGTATTATTGCCTCACTGGAGAGAGCAGGGGGAGTGTGGGTCAAGAAGCAAGACCTGCCCTTTCAGTGGCAGCTGTCAGCAGATCTGTGTAGAGCTGTTGCAAAATATTGCCTGAAGTCTCTATGACCAAACCCACAGCAAACTAATACTTCACACTCAGGATTATACATCTCTCGCCTTTTGTAAGGAACTAGATCCTTTTTATTGCCCCAATATGAAATTTCAAAACTTAAAATTTTTTTGCCAGTGCAGTTAGAAAACTTTTCCCAAACTGAGCAGAATCAGGCTGGCTTTATAAAAGGGTTTGAGTAAGTTGCTGTAGCTCTTAATGTGTCTCATTGTTCAGAAAAACATGGTTGTGAACTTGTTAAGTACTCTGTAACAGTAGTAAGAAAGTTTCTGAACAGGCGTGACCATCAAGAACTTTCAGAGTGATGTTGGAAAAAGGTCAATATCTTGTTTGCATCCAGTTCTTGGGTATTTTTAGGAACAAGTAAAGTTCTAAGAGGCCTAACTATTAATGTTTGCTTATGATATTAGAAATCAGAGACTGTGGATCTTCATTGATCCATTTGAATGCTCTTTCATTTTCATGATTTTCAGTCCTTCATAAGAAGAGGTAAGTTTAACTATATGTTTGTGAACAGAAATTTGTTAAAGTTCTTTGATTAGAAAAGTTTTAGAAGAAAATTACTTTATTTTTCTTCTAATGGTAAATGGTGAGTTTAAGTGTACATGTTCTTGAAAAATCACCTCTCTTGTGATTACTGCTTTGATTCCATTCTGTTAAGGTGGCAAGTTCCTGGAGAAAGAACTGTTTTAGCTGTAACACACTAGTCTTCTCCCTAAGTATAAAAATTATTTAAGATAATAAAACATTTTATGACAGTCATAATTTGGGAGAGGGAAGATAGGGAACCAGCAAAACACTCCATGAGAAACGCACAACAAATAAATAAAACCTCCAGTCTCTGAATTAAAACAGTATAAGAAATTTCTAACAGTAGGAAGTAAGCATGCCAGCAAATTGCAGGGCACCTCCTAACAGGCTAAAATTGTATTTTTATGCTACAGAAAAAAATCTGTTTCAGTGAAGTATGAAAATTCTACTGGCTGTAAGGCTATACGTGGGATGGTCTTATTCAGTCTTTCTTTATAAAACTAATGCTTGTAAGTGTTTTAAGAGGTCTGATCAGAAAAAAATGGCAAGATTCTTTAAGGTGTGGTCGTTTATGAAACCTAATATTCAAAAGATTCAGAGAAATGAGTTATTAACACAGCAGCTTTCAGTAGTTGAATAGGGTTTGACACTGCTGCATGTTCAAGTACAGTCTAGAAGGTAGATATCCAAATGACTTTAAAACTCCTGTTTGCTTAAGACTTAGCTCTCCTTAATAAACTTGCATAAGCTTGTGAATTAAAAGTAGTTTTCATGTTTTAATGTCTTTGCTTTTTATAGCTGTTGGATGAACTGCCAATGATATACAGTTGTTGTGTGTTTGTCTACTGCCTGTAAGTATTTGGGGTTTTTTTCCTTTATTATTTATGAAATGTTTAGTTTTGAAATGCTGAGTCTCCGAAGCCAAATGTAGCATATAGTGAGGATGATAGTGAAGCTTCTACTGCATTTGGTGATACCTGGTTTTGCACAGCATTATGACATTAGAGCAGCAGCCTGGCTTCAGTCATAGTATTTGCTAATTTAGATATATTTTACCGGTGTTTGTCTAGCAGGAAAAAATCCCCACCACTTATTAAAGACTTGGTGTAGTATACAACCAGAGCTCATTGCTGCTTGCTATATAAACAGCATACATAATAAAATCCACGTCAGTAACGCCTACAAAATTACAAACATTGTAATTTATTGGAGGTGGATTTCTATGACGTGATCTGACTCCAAATGCAAATTTCAGGTTTCTGGCTAAGCCTGCTTTCCACTCATCTGGAAAATTAAAGAAAAAAGATTTTATGAAGAGTCAAGTGCATATTTTGTGGAGAGTGTTTTGTACATGTGACAGCTTAATGCTATGCCAGGATGTTTTCTCCCATTTAATTTTGGGAGCAATGTAGCATTTGATGACTGCAAAGATACCCTAAGATATTTTTCTTATGCGTGTTGCTGAAAGGCCTGGCTTTAATGTGATTTTTTCTGTCACTTGGAAAATTCAAGTGATAAATCAACTTGTTGTAGACAAAAAGAGAAAAAAAAAGTCTTTTTGCTTTTGAACATACCAAATATTCAGCTGTTGAAAATTGTACTGTCTTTGGTGAAGGTTACTGGTAGCTTGCAATGGACATGGGATACTCTAGGACTAAACCCCTATCTGTGGAAATTATCCTTAGTTTGTGATTCGTACATTAGTGTGATTTGTACTTGGGACCAGAATCATAATACCTCTGTTAGAGGCAACATTTCCATTGTAGCTCCTTTTCTTCTTGAAATTGCCTTTGCATTTATTTTGTCTGATTTGAATGTGATTGGGAAAAAGGATAAGAAGTAGCTATCAAAATGTGTCTGAAAAAATAATTTTTTTATGCAGTAGTTACTGTATTATCTTCAAAAGCACTGAAGTCTGTTACTGCATTTATAGCTCTAATAAGATTCTGTGTGTGTATGTTTGGCAGCAATTAAAATATTCAGAAGAGTGAGCTAATGTGTAGTTTAGGAGGCCTTTAATAATTGTTTTGGTTTGCTTGAAGGTAGGTTGCAGGTGGTTCTGTGCAGGACGTTCCCTTATACGGACTCGCAAGACGTGCAGTTTCTTTGGGAAGCCATTTTGCAATATATCATATTGTGCTGCCTTTATATTTTATTTTTTTTCTGAGATATTCCTACATGTTTTTTCTTTCTTTTCTTTTATTTTCCATGATAGTGCCTGTTGCGAAAAGTTTATAAACAAATCAGACCGATATAATTTGGAGTTATCTATATAACTTCCTCCAGCCCTAATGATGGGTTTCTCAGAGTTCACTTTTCTTAGGTGTCTTTGGACCTTTTTTCTGATGGAGATATGGTCTGGGATGTGTGTGTAACTCCATCACAACTGTGACTGAGGTGTACTATAAATATCGTGAGCTAATTTTAATTGATTGTTTTACATACTGGAGAAATTAGCTGGGTTTACCTTCCGCTTCTACCAGTACCTGTTCTAGAAAACTTTCTGCATTATGACTGTAATAAAGCCATAAACAATCTGTATTTTATCAGATCTCTGGAGTTCACTGTTGTGTAAGGCAGTCCTTTCCCACACTGCCTTTAGCTCACAGGTGCACGTGGATTTTGGTGGCTGAATTGCATTTTAAACTTGCTTCTAATTTGCCATCCATTATCACCCCTTAAGCATTTCCCAAAAATGCTTCTGCTTCCCATACTCTACTTTGTCTGGGTTGCTTTTTTTTAATATGTTTGAACTTCCTGGGTTGGTTTTTTTGCGCTAGATTAAAAAAAAAAAAAAAAAAAACACACCACCGCATTTATTGGTAAAAGTATGAATTTTTCTATTACAATGACACATATTTATTGGAAGAGCTACAATTTCTTGAAGGATCCAAGCCTCATTTGGATCAATTTTCTCACCAGTTTTGTGATAATATACCTTGACAAATGAATCCTTTATATGGTAAGTGATGAATGTTATCATTCTTCTTTATGTTCTCTTCCAGGTACGAATGTTTCAAGTACAAGAACACAGTCAATTATCCGCTGCTTTTCTTGTTAATAATATACAGCTTTGTAGTCAGCATAGTAAGTAACTTTTTCTAATATGGCATTTTCACTTGTTGGTTGACAGTTTTCCTGACAGTGAAGGAATATTACAGAGGCAATACTGAATCTCTGTCACTTCCAGTCAAGAAAGACAAATTATTCTTTTGTTGGAAAAATTATGTGCTGGCCAGAGAAACCTGAAACCTTTCTATCTAAACCACTGTATAGAATAAATGAAGGAAAGCAATAATCCATGTGAGAAAAACAGTCACTGTTGACTTGTTGTAAGACCTTGGACAAGCTACATTCTTCACCTTCCCTCGCTTTAATTCATCTCTGGAAATGTGAATCATCCTGGTTGACAGACTGCAAAAAGTGAATTGTGATACCCAGTCCAGGATATTGACTGGTGTTTTAAAACATCCAGAATAAGAAAGGAACTTAGCTGTTAGTTAAAATTCACCTCATCTTTTTTGTGTCATGGCTAACTTGACTCCCTTTCTCAGTGCAGTGTGCTCCCTTTATGAATAAGATTAGTTTTGTGCTGGCTGTCAACCACAGGTGGACTCTCCTTCATCACTTTTATTGATAACCATGTCTTTAAAAAAAATATTATTATAGGTCATCTTCAGCTGCCAAAATACTTGCTTATTCTCTGCCTTCTGAAATTTTTCACATTCATGGTGTGTTATGCCTAAGGTCTAGTGTTAAATTATTGCCAATAACATTCATAGTAGCAAATCAAAGTACAGTACATTTTGTTCTTGCAATGCATAGAGAGAACATGTCTGGTAATTTCAGCATCTTAATTGTTTTTATATGTGTTGCAACTCCATTAAATGAGGAGCTTAATGTTAGACGTTAATGTATCTTTTTGTGCTTCTTAATTTAAAATAATTCCACACTTAAAACCTCAAGTTTTGCCAGAGGAAACTTCAAATGGTTGATCAGCTTTCATGGTTCCATGGATAGGCACTCATGGCTTGATTCTAACAGAAAACGTGCTGGCAGTATTTTGATGAATAATGCTATGATCATTCTGTGTTGAAAATAATTTCTCTTTTTTAATCTTTTCAGGTTTACTTAAATTTGAAAGAGCCTGTATTCCATCAGGTAAGTCTTGCTTTGTTGGAGCAACTAATCTTGCTTTTTAACTATGCTGTTTTAGTGGAATGTTTTACAGTATTTTACAGCTGGAAGATGGAAGAGAAGCACAATTTGCCTCTTGCTTTTAGTTTAAGCAGTATTGCTGCTTGTTATGTTACCATCCTCTTACTCAGTGACCTGAAAAACTAGAATGGTTTAATACATGTTTTTGTTTTAGCATTTGACCTAATATTTCCCATGGTTTTCATCAGTGGCAAGTGTAATGAGGTGAGCCTAAGGTGTGTGTGAGAGGGAGGGCTTAATGAGTCTGTGCCTGCTTCTTTCCATTAGCAGCAGCTGTGAAACTATGACCTTACATTCTAACATAGGGTGACTTAGCACCATGTTCTTCTCTCTGCTATAACATATTAGTTTCTTGGGGTTTTTTAACTACTCAGTTTTACTCCATGTAAATTCAAAGTGGATTTAAGCACAGAATGCCTTCTAGGGTTGTGTTGTAGACTGGTTCATATAGGCTTAATGGCATATTTGGTACAGGCTCTTTTTGTAGCAGCACAAGAGTATTAATATTCATCCCCTGTCTGTGGGGATAGGACTTGTCTTGCTTGCCTCTTCACAAGAGGTTAGAAATTATGCTCATTTCTGTATGCTATGGGTAGTTTTCCCTTATTTATGATTTTTTGATTAGGGATAACAGCTGAAGAATTGCCAAGCACAAAGCACCGAGCTCTGTGCAGGACAGAGCTTTAAAGCCTTAATTCTGAAATGGGTAGTGCCATCGCTTGTCAAAATGTGCCTGCTGCATCAGCAGTTGTAAAAATGATACGTGGCTACCGCTGCCGGATTACGGAAGCACTGATCAACAGAATATATTCTCAGCTGCTCCAAATAATCTCTCCTAGAAACATGAATTTTTACTCTACCTGTAGTCAAAAGAGGAACTTGCAGGGTGATTTGTTTGGTTTTTATAACATTAAGTAAATACTTTCATTTTTTGTCACCTACTTACATTTCCAGCAGAAAGATACTGGCTGGGATAAAAGTGGCAATTTCTGGTGCTTTTACTGAGCTGGTCATATGTGGTTTTGAATGAAGTGACTTAGAGTAATTTTGTTAACAATAGTGGAAGAATTTACTATTTATAATGGACTTCTGTCTCGTTAATAATTTATTTTCTCAAGCTATGTTTATTACAATAAATACATCACAGCTTCACTGAATTTCAGTTTGATGCGTTGGCATAGATATTGTCCCATGTCACAAATACTAAGACAATAGATACTGTGATTTATTGGGAAAGAGGGAAATAGGGAAACTTTAAACTGTTGCCCCAGACCTTTAATTTTTTGCATCTGGTTTCTCTTAAGTTCAGAATATGCTTTCCCTAATATAATTTATACATGAGGAATCAATGTAGAAAATATTTAGGCCCATAAAAGTGCTGGACTTCTTACAACAACTCTTTGCAAATTGATTTCTGTGGAGAACATGCAGTTGTGGCCAAATTCCAAATGTTTGAGCACTGTACTCATTTTTTCATGGTCTTTGCCAAATATATTGTAAATCCTGAGGAAATGTTTCTCTGGCTGCAGAGCAAAGCGAGGTTATTTTCTTAATACTTGTCTGTGATTTTAGAGTGCATTAAAAAAAAAAGTGAAATCATTTCAGTAAGCATTTTCCAACTGAGTGGGTCACACAGACTTGAAGTAAAGTTAAATATGCTTGTGCAAGCATAGTTTAAATCACAGTCTTGGTCCTGAACTGTGTTGGAAAGCAGCATCAGGAGATAAAGCAGCATTTGATTACTCTAGGTGTTTGTGATCATTATGGTTTGTCAGACTTGCAAAAAGGGGAGTAAATACATGGATAATTTTATATTGTTCATTCTTTCAGCATGTCTAGGCGATTTTCCCCAAAAAGGTGAGCAGTAAGAACAGAAAAGGATCCTTATTACATTTAGCAACCAGGATCCAATCCTCAGTTTTCCATGAAATACTTTGTACTTGTCTTCCCAACTTAGGCTCATAAGTTGCTGACTGCCAGCAGGGCATGAAGGGGATTTCAGTTTGTTATCAATGGCACAGGGGCAACAGAGTCCAACTTCTTTTTCTCCATCCACACATTGGAGATACTTAAGGGTCTTGGTGCATTAGCCATAGGAGGGCTGAGATGCATGTTTTGGGCAGTTTGAGGCAGTGCATATTAGAAGGAAAAACCACTTCCCTGCCTGATAACTGATCTAATATTTTTTGCCAACTCATCAATTAAATGAAAAATATCAGTGGCCTTTACAGGCATATATTGTCTTGTTTATCTTCAGATCTCTCAGGCTAGAGCCCTAATTTTCAAGGTGCTAAACAACCCTACATCCCAGTTGCCTAGCTGGTTTTAAGTCGGCATCATTGTCACAGAAAAGAGTTGTGCCTCTCCTCTCTTTTCCATCTGGCACACAAATTTACTCTCTGACGTGAATTTGATTGGGGAACTCAACAGGTTAAAACTCTCTTCAGAATTAGTTCTAAATCAGATTAGTTGTTCATCCCTGTTTACCACGTGTATATTTGTGCTTCTACACGAAAAGGGGTGGGGGAAGACCAGCTGCTGGTGTGGAGTGATCCATAGACACCCAAATGTAAGACAGCCCTGGAAGTAGAAGAAACTATCCTGGCAGTTAAACTTTTCAATTCAAGTCTCACAAATAGCTTGCTTTCTCATATGATAAGGCCTAGAAAACTGTCACCTACAAAGCAATGTTTTTCATCCTGATTTGTTTACTTGCTGCATATTATATGCTGACTATGTACTTGTAGTGATCAAAAACCTCATTCAGCTAGTGGGCCAAGTTATGTGAATAAGGAAGTAGATCTAAAAACCTGTTCCATTTGCATTGTCGTCTGTTATAAGAATTTGAAGCAGATTTTAGCAAACAAATAATTAAAAGGTAAATGGAAAATTAGATGAAATAGCTGTTTCTTCTATATCAGGAAATGTGATTTAAAAAATAGACATTCCAGAATGTTGTTATGGTGTCCCATGAGAAACTAAGCAAGCTGGAGAAGTAGATCAGTATGAGAATTGCAAATAGTGTAAGGGAGTGACTAGTGAAAAATAACTAAAGGAAACAAAAAACAGTCTGCCTGGATTTTCTCAGGATCGGTAGTGAGACTATTTTGGATTTTTTAACAACCTGTAGCAGGAAAGACAGTTGGGTACTGATGGTATTTTTGATGATACAAAGTTCAGAGGCATCACTGAGTACAGGGGAGGAGATGAAGAGAGAACCTTGATAACTAGAATGACAACGGATTCAAAACAGAAGAGAGGCACTGATGGGCAAATACCAACTGTTCTTGTTCTAAACTGCTCACAAATCACCAAAGGAGGGAAGGAGTGCCTGGATATGTTCACTGATCATAGCGTAATAACATGACCAGTGAATTTTCTACAACAGTGATAGAAGTCAAATATAAGTATCGAATTTACCCATTAAGGTGACTATGAGTAAGAGGGAGAGAGTGAGCATGGCGGGGGGGATTTTTCTCTATGGATATTTTAAATAACAAGAAAACAAGTGCAAAGAAGAAAGTGAACTCACAATGAAATGTGTATGTAGAAGTGCATAGGGGAGCCTGAAACTGCATGAAGAATGTTATGTTCAGTCTTAGAGGACTCCCCATTTTGGGGAATCTGTGAGGAACCACTTGTTGTCCTACAGTTCTCCAGAGTCCCTCCTGCTGCTGAGGCAGCAGTTATTTGTAGGCCTGTGGCTTAATAAATTGTGCCTTTTAGTGGGATGTGTTCTTACTTTCTATATGTGTAGGTTGCCAAGCAGTCTGTTAAAAATGACCTTTTCAGGCGCATCTTCACCACAGAGCTTTTCCTGTTTAGTCATTGTCCTGAAAAAAATAAAACTGAGTGACATTTCACCCTGTTACACAGCTAGTTTGGGCATGTCTTCTAGAAAGCGATTACAGCTTTCATTCTGGCTAGTGCTTCTACCTGCACAGTAGCTTAGGGAATGAGGAAGGATGTTCTGACTCTCCAATAGTTCAGCTCTACAAGTCATTGAAGGGGAGGCTTGGTGTGCTCTGGCAGATAGTGTCCCAGAAGCTTGAGTGACATTTCACCCTGTTACACAGCTAGTTTGGGCATGTCTTCTAGAAAGCGATTACAGCTTTCATTCTGGCTAGTGCTTCTACCTGCACAGTAGCTTAGGGAATGAGGAAGGATGTTCTGACTCTCCAATAGTTCAGCTCTACAAGTCATTGAAGGGGAGGCTTGGTGTGCTCTGGCAGATAGTGTCCCAGAAGCTGACTTGTGTGTCACTTTGCTATCACGTACATGCATCTGAACAAGACCAAACCAAGTGAATCTGAATCAGGTTTTTCAGGAGCTGTCAAGGCAACATGTAGTATTACACAGCCATAACTATATGGAGTTACTTGGTGTTTCAGTGTCATCTTAGGGATTGTCCTTCCTTTTTTTTTCCTCAGCTCAGGCTTCTTTTCCAGAAATCCCAAAACATGTAGAAGTCAGTTTTCTTTGCTGCAAATTGTAAAATACAGTTTCCAAGTTCAAGTGCTTAGGCCAACTATCTTTTGATGGCTAGTTGTTGTATTAATAGATAAGGAGTGGTTGCCAAGAACCCAGAATCTCTGTGTGGTTCCCATATATATGTGTATATAAACATTTGAGACTGATAAATTGACTTTATTAACCCAGGAAGGCCAGGAGCAGAGGAAACAGAGAAGTGGGAATAGCAGGCTATTGCTGCTTTCTGTACTAGAAGGGTAGATGAAGAACCAGTTTTATATGCTCCCCTCAGTGTTGAGTACCAACCTTACCTCTGACTTGCATAAGTGAATCTGTATGATTTGCTTAACTGCCTCCACATCAGAAGTGCTGCCAGAGACTGGGCCCTGAAATGCTTACTTACTGTTTGTGAATTAGAAGGATGTTCTTCATATTTGGCCTTCTTATGATGAATACTGTGTATTAATCAGACT